CCTTCTCTCCTCCCTAGGTTTGACTGGGAATTATTTAAAACCTTCCAGTATAAAAACAGATGATTAGCTGAGAGGGGAAGAATAATTCCTAGAGGAAGCAGATATCTGACGTTATGTCTGCTAGAAGAGACAAGAAATCCACGTGTAAATGAAGAGGTGCTGAGATTTAAGATCTGCACCAGGTGCCACAACCTTCCATGGAGGTATTTGAAAAGCTTCATGATATTGAAGCTCAGATATACAGGTAAACAAGCCAAGGATTTTGCAAATGCATTGCTAATATTTCAGATTCCTGTTATCAAATACCTGGGAAAAAAACAACCAAACAAAAAAAGCTTAAAAAACCCCAGCATTTTCTACACATGACCCTCACCTAAAATCCTCATAAAATGGCTGGCCAAATAGCACCTTACCAAGCAGATCAGGTGACTTTCCTAAAAAATAATAAATAATCAAGTTGCACTCGTGCTCCCCAGATCCCTGATATGAGAAGAGCTGTTTCAACTCCAAAATCGTAAAATGAGACTGATTCAAGGAACAGACTAAAGGAAATTGCCAATGTACAGGTAAATAATTTCAACAGCAGCCTTATCACCACGCTCATCCACATCTGAGTTAGGAAACACCAAGATACAACTAATTTGGCCAAAAAAAAAAACAACTAGTATTTCATCATCTCCTATCACAGGGACCAAAGGTGGCTGAGGGAGCAAATACCCCGCCCTGAGACAGAAAATCTATTTGCACCTATTCATTATGTCATAGATCGCTCAGTATCTACCCAGAATTACACAAAGCATCTCATAAAGGAACTTTTATTTATTTTTTTTAAGAAAACTCTTCTAAGGGGAACATTTGGAACGCAGTATTGGAGATAGAGGCCTTCCACTAAGGGAGGAGGAGACATTGTTTAGGTTGGGGGTTTTTTTCATTCCAAAGACAGGGAAGAAAACCTCACTGACTGAATTAAATATTCAGAGCGTCGCTCTGCCAAGACATAACTCCATTATGGAAAAACGCTGTATTTACACAGTAAACGCTGCGGATTGAGACTCCTGCCCCCCAAAAAACCAGACGAGCTGGGATTGAATGAATCAGCAACTGTTTCTAGAGATGGGCTTTGGTGGTTTTTGGGGGGTTAAACCAGAGCTGAAGCCCGCAGACCCCCACAAGGGTGGGTGGGTGTCAGGGACTCTCATGAGGGAGGCCGGGTGTCGGGAAGGGTGAGGAGGGGGATGCCGTCTGACCCCATGAGGGTGGGGGGATGTCGGGGAGAACGAGGAGGGGGATCCCATCAGACCCCATGAGGGTGGGGGGATGTTGAGGAGAACGAGGAGGGGGATCCCATCAGCCCCCATGAGGGTGGGGGGATGTCGGGGAGAACGAGGAGGGGGATGCCATCAGACCCCATGAGGGTGTGTGGATGTTGAGGAGAACGAGGAGGGGGATCCCATCAGACCCCATGAGGGTGGGGGGATGTCGGGGAGAACGAGGAGGGGGATCCCGTCAGAGCCCATGAGGGCGGGTGGGTGTCAGAGACACTCATGAGGATGTCGGGGAGGATGAGGAGGGGGTCCCTTCGTGCCCCCACGAGGGCGGGCGAGTGTCGGGGTGGGTGACTCACCGCTCTGCTCGCCCAGGAACACCAGCTTGAATTTCCGCAGCGGGTTCCCGAAGTCCCCGCCCGACGACATGATGGAGGAGTCGCCGCCGCCGCCCCGCGCTCGCTCCGCTCCCCGCGGCGGCACCCGCGACCGCGACCACTTCTCTCCGCCTCCTCCTGCTTCTCCTCGTCCTCCTCCTCCCCGGCGAAGGCTGCGAGCCCCGGTGAGGTGCCAATGCCGGTGCCGCTGTCGGTGTCGGTGCCGCCGCTTCGCCCCCTCCGCGCTCCCGGAGCCGGCGCTCTGCCCGCCCCGCGCACGCGCTGTGGGCGCTTCCCTCTCCTACGGGCCGGGAATGGTTTGGGTTGGGAGGGACGAGGAGAATCATCCAGTTCCACCCCCTGCCATGGGTAGGGACACCTTCCACTGTCCCAGCTTGCTCCGAGCCCCAGTGTTCAGCCTGGCCTTGGACACTGCCAGGGATCCATGCTCTGGGCAGGCTGTGCCAGGGCCTCGCCACCCTCACAGCCTCAGCACCAGGGTAAGGGCTGCAAGGTGTACCCAGCCCGCACGGGCGTGAGGGAGGAACCAGCAAAGTCCTTAAAACCAAAGGACTTTAATCTTACTTGATACAGATACTCCTTTCAGAGGAGCATCTCTGAGGAGCAGCTCTCTCCCAGCGGGGTGATGTTTCCCAGGAAGGTCAGTGATTCCCACTGTCATCCTTTGACAGTGGGTGAGGGCCCTCCATCTTTTGCCAGCTTTCCCTTTCACTACTTTTTTGCCCATTTTTCCACACTTTGCCCTCAAAGTTCAGTAGTTTAGGAGGTTCCCAGGTGCATCCTGGCCCTTCCTGTTTAAGCCTTGGCTGGGAGATTGTTCCAGAGCATCTCTGCTCTGATAGTCAGGGAAATGGCATCTGCTACATGTTTAGTTTTGAAAGCCTTTCTGTTTTTTATCATTTCATTTATACTCAATGTGATTAACAGCTTCACTAAGTGCTGTTTTTTTTCACCCAGGCCTTGAAGTACCAGAGAACTAAAAAATGAAAATGTGTCTTTAATCAGGTGATTAAACAAGTTTTAATAGATATTAGCAGAATCTCCCATTCAGCTCTGTGCCTGGCATCTGGGAATGTTTCCACACTGGTTGTGTGGCTGCTCTCCTGCACCACAGGGAAAGGGAATCCAGACTGGCAGAGACTGGCCTGATGTAATTTCAAATACTAAATACAGATATTATCCTTGTTTTTGTGTCAGGGTGCATTCCAGGTTTTTTCTCATGGGTCCTAGGGAAAACAACAGCTGAAGGCAGAGAAGGAGACACGCAAAACAGAGGTTTTCTTCTAAAGTCTATTTGAACACTTCTTGATTGTATTCATCATTAGATGAGTCTGAAAAGAAGTGGAGGCAAGGCATGGGAAGCTTTAAAAATGAGGAAGAGCTTCCTGGAGTCTTTTTAGTGTGGTCCAGAAAAAGCAAGTCATTGAGTCACCTCAGCTTCTCTGTGTAAATGTCACAAAAAGGTTTGGAAGTTGTGCTTCTGCAACAGGGATTCGGCTCCCTGGCTGTGAAATGATGCAAAAGGCAAAGAAAGGCACATTGCAGTTGGAAATGAGAACCGTGTCCTAACAGAGAAGGTGCTCAGCCACCAGAACAAGCTGCCAAGAGCAGCACTATCTTTGTATCCAGGGAAAATCAAGATGAGCCTTTGTGAGAAAGATGCTTTCACAGAGAGAGGAGTGATCTGCTTCCATAAAGCCATAAGTCACTGGAAACCTATCGACTGCGACGTGCAGGAGAGTGAATTCCGTGATTTAACAGTCCCTTTTTGGCCTTAAAATGTATCCATCTATGATAGATGTCAGAGACATTCCTCAGTGGAGAGGTGGACTCGTTTCTCATGGAGACACAGAGGACAACAGCTCATTGGGAGGAAGGATTCCTGCAATCTGTTACTGCCTAACCCCAGACTCAGCTGGGGCAACACTCCCTCCTCAGCCACGTTTTGTGGGTGGAAGAAAGGTGAGTCCCCAGGAGGGGCAGAGGGAATTGAGGGGTGCAGTCCCACTCTGTGGGCACACAGCATTGGAGGGCAGGGAATTAGGAGTCATCCTCGACCTGCTCATCACAGCTTCCCCTACAAATGCAGGACCAGCCAGTCCCCTCCAGTCACAGCAGCCCCTCCCCAACTTCCTCTGGGGCTTCAAAGATCACAGCAGGAGGAGCCTGGTTTCCTGGAGTGGGAGTGCCAGGCTTAACCCAGCTCAGAGTCCCACAGAGATCCTTAGTCAAGTGTCATTCCCTGGCTGGCCCTGCCTGGAGCTCGCCAGGTGGGATCAAAGGGCAGGATAACATCCACGTGGGCAGTTCTGTCATCTGGGGAGCACGAGGAAAACCCAGCTTGGAGCTGGGAACACATGTCCTTGCACTGTGGGGCAGAGAGCAAAGGAGCCGTGGATCCCCTCTGCTCTCTCCCTGTGCTGGGCAGGTGGAGACACAAACCTTGTCCTTTCACATTCCCTGTGTCCCCTCCATGCACCAGTGCAGTGTGGATGGACATCAAGGGTGTCCAGTGTGTGTCCGGTGCACCAGGCACTCAGAAATGCAGGACAAGGCTGGATCACAGAGCAGGAAATGAACCTGCCACGTGGATGAACCAGAGGGAGAAAGTCCATCAGGAGCTCTGACAGCTCTAGGAGGTGCAATTGGAGCAGGCATCAGTCAGCAGAGCAGGAAATCCTGACTCAAAATCCAGCTCCCAGGCAGGGAACAGCTCCAATAAAGGCACTCAGGGATGTGGGCTCCAGGGTGAGCATCTGCCATGGAAGAAGGGGCAAACGAGCCAGACTGGAGAGAAGGGAGACAGGAGGAGGGAAAAGAGCCTGTGGGAAATTAAAGGTTTGTATGGAAGAGGCAGCTGAACATGGGATGGGTTTTCCTGAGCCAACTCCAGACTGTCAGGCCTGGTGGGCAGAGGACTGCAGGCCCATCTCTTCCCAGGCAGAAACCCTGCCCACCTGCTCTCCCACTGGGAGATCAGGGACGAGGTCCCCGCCAGCCCAGCCTTCCCACACTTAGGATTTCGTGATTGCAAATATATATATTTTTAAATTATACTAAAGGCCTAAGTAAATGGCCGCCGCTACGCCACACTCAAGGTGGCCGCTGCACCACTGTGGGGCGGGGCCGGGCGCGGCCCGCAGCACCACCACGTGGCCATGCCACACCCAACATGGCCGCCGTACCTTGATTGACGTGTCAGGGAGCCAATCAGTGTGCGAGATTAGGTGGTAGGCGGGCCGTGACGGATGGGACGCGCGGTGATAGGCGCAGGGCTGGGTGCGCTGTGTAGCCGCTGCCGCATGGCGGCGCTGCCCGCTGCGTGTGGGCAGCCAGGAACCAGGTGTCCGCCATTACCGCCCGCACCCCCGCGCCCTCCCCGCTGCCTCCTTCAGGACACCAGGGCCCCGCCAGTACTGCCGGTTGTCCAAAAGTTGATGCGTACGGGAGTTCTCGGTGGGCCGAGCGGGGAGATGCCCGAAAATTAGAATTCCCGGGAGCCATCGGTGGGCGGAACGCGGGGAGGGAGCCGCGGGACGGGGGGAGCCGAGTGAGGGCGTACCCAGGCACGGAGGGGGAACGCTTTGAGCGACGGACCGCGGCGCCGGATGATGGCGGCGGTGCCGAAGGTACCGGGGATGGCCACAGGGAAGGGGACTGGGGACGGGGAAGGACGAGGGGACAGAGGGAAGGGGAGGAACAGGAACGGAGGAGTAGCCTTGGTCCTTGGGACAGCTGAGGCAGTCCCAGCCCTGCTGCTGGAGGCCCTGATCCAACCCTGGTTTGGTTTCGGAAGGAAGTGTGGGGGTGATCCTGAGGGGGTCCAGATCTTGAGATCGTGCCCTGGATCTGTTTTGGTGATCCTGGACCAGGGGTTGAGACACCCACACACCCCTGCTCCCCATCCTCACACACCTAGGGGGTCACCCCAACTCTATTAGACCCCTTGTCTCCGTGGTCCCTGTCAGATCGCTGTCCCTCTACACTGGGATATTTGGGACATCGGTATTTATCCCCCACCCTGGTTTGGCGACAGCAAAGCTGTTTGCCGGATCGATGAGCTATTTCCCTCCATCCTTGTGGAGGTGGGACAAGCACGAGGGTTGTTCACAGACTGTCCAACCCGGTCTCTGGGAGCGGTGTCCAAACGCTCCTGGAGCTCTGGCAGCCTCGGGGGAAGAACCTTTTCCTAAATCCAACCTAGACTTCCCCTGTCACAGCTCCAGCCATTCCCTCGGGTCCTGTCCTAGAGGTGTAGTAACCTAGAGCTGTTGGTGAAGATTCCCAGAGGATCTGCCACCCTGTTGTGTTTTAACCATTGCAGGTGCTGTGCTCGGAGAAGGGAGCCTTGCTCCGGCAGGTGGTCGCCCTCAGCAGGTGAGAGAACATACATGACCAAAAAAATTAGGTTTCTTTTTGCCAGATCTTCTTATAGTGGAGGTAAGACTTTGAGTTTGGAGCTGAAAGGGCTGTGGGATGGGAAAAAAGGGGGAGTCTTTGTGCTGATGGGATCAGGCCTTTGCAAAAGGACATTGCCACATATTTTTTTCCATAAGTGAGGGAAACCAGAGTTGCTAATTGTTATCTTGTTCCCTACAGATTTTTTAATTATTATCTTGTTTCCTACAGAGCAGCAACAGCCAGAGAAAACCGTCTGTGTGCTGCAGGTAAGGTCTGTTGTCAAACTAATTTTGAGGCAAAAATTCACTTCCTTTAAATAAATATTAAACATTGGAGCATTTCTGCTTCATTTTGGGTTTTTTTTTAGCCAATACTGGACTGGTTAAATAAACAGCAGGAGCTCTGCCACTTCCATATGGTTTTTTCTAACATTTTCTTCTTTTTTGCCCTGTTCTTGGTTAAGCAAGTGTCACCAGCTGTGGTGTTACGTGATCATAATTTGGGGCTCTCATAGCACCTGCAGATGTTTGTTTGCAGCTGGAAACAGTCTGCTTTCATTTTCAGGTGATGCACTCCTGGCTTGCCACAGATCCTACAGGTCCCGACCTACACATGGAATTGGGAAGTTTAAATACCTGCTCCCAAAGGAGGTAAGCAGAAGGATTTCCCTCTGTGCCTGCTTTCCCAAGGAAATCCTGGAGCATTCACATGCCCCATCTCAGAAGGCCAGGTTGGATGGGGTTTGGAGAAACCTGGAATTGTGGAAGGTGTGTTTCCCCATGGCAGGGGGTTGGAATGGGATGAGATTTTGGTTCCTTCCAGTCCAAACTATTCCATGATTCCCTGAAGTACCCACACACCACACTGCAGAAATGCTTCCTTTTGTCCAGTACATTCCTGTGGAAGTTAATGAGTAGCTTTGGAAGGGAGGAACCTCTTCCTGACACTGAATTTAACACCTGAACTATTCTAGAATATTGTGAGCATGTAACCTTTACATAACTCCCTGAGGTCCATTTGTGTGGAAGGAGGAAACAACAAGAAGTCAGCTGCCTTTTAGGCAGGAACTGAAATAAACAGCAGGTTTATTTCTACTAGTTTTATTCCTTTCTTTCTTCCTCTGGAAGAAATTAATCACAGCCTGAGTGTGTGGGTTTTTTGTGTGATGCCATCTAAGAGCTGAACCTTTATTCCCAGCATTGTTCAAACCAGATACTTTCTATTTTAGTTTATTTTATTGTCTTTTCTTTTGGAAAACAGGTTCCAAAGAAGAAAAAGGAAAAAGTGCAGATGAAAGAGATCGATGCTGGCACTGAGTACCAGTATGGAGATGTCAACATCCAGATGACTTCTTATGATCTGTGCCTGGTGGAGCATTTTGCTCAGTATGTCCACAGACTCTGCAACCGCCTCTCAATCCGAGTCAATGAGAGGTATGAGGAAATCTGTCCCTCTGGATTATGACCCCCTGCACATCGGGGCACACTCCTGTCTCCCTGAGAGATTCCCATTTGGATGTAAATCCAAACCTCTCACCTGCCCTGTGTTCTCCTTTTGTCTATCTGTACAATTTTGGATGCTTTATTTCCATCAGGAAGACTGAAATTGAGTTTTTCAGGCACTGACTTGACCAGATTCCAAGGAAAAAATAGCTGTTACATCTCTTTCCTCTGAGGAAAAGGGTTTAAGCCTATGGAATTGCACTGTGAAAAAGCACTGAGCTGCCACCAGGGAATAAAACCAGTGGTGACTGTCTAAAATGTGGGGTTTACACTTTTACCCTCTGAGGTTGGATGTAGTTTGTGTGTGTAGAGAAAGAAAGGATTTACCCTTCAGACTGGAAATTGAGGGGAAAAATTGGGCAGTAGGATGGAGCTTGGAAGGAGCTGTGGGAATGGGGATGAGGAGCCTGAGGTCTCTGAGTCTGATCCACTCCCAGTCACATTCCCATTAAATCTGAGGTGTAAACAATGTATTTCTGCTGGTGCATTCCACCAGCGGATTTTAGCTCTGTCCCAAAAGACAAAACAAGTCAGAACTGCTGCTTGTCTTGAACTATGAAGAAATTAAAAGTTCTCAGGCTGGTGTTTGGAGCTAATCCAGGTTTTTACTGGAGCTTCCTCCTCATCTCCTTCCAGCAAAACACCCGCCTCTACCAGAGCCTGATTTGCAGGATACATCCTTTGCATAATTAATGTCCCATGAAAAGTTAATCTCCTTTCCCATTCTCTGCTGTGGAGGTTGATTCATCCCCATAAAGTAGTGCAAATATCCTGCCTGTCCTAAGCACTGCCCTCTGACTCCTGCAGCTACGCCATGCCCACCAAAACCAACGAGGTGCTGTTCATGGAAGAGAGGGGATCCAAAATGCAGCTGGATGCCGTCCTTACCACCCACCAGAGGGTTGTTCAGGTAGGAGCTGGGATTTGCTGGCAGTGCTGCAGCACTTGCCACCACAGGCTCCCCAAACCCCTCAAACATTTAAGAGATGAAAGGCATCACTTGGGCATAAATGGAAGCAAAAAGTCTAACTACATTTTCTGCTGAGTGTTGCTCTTTACTAGGAGCCCAGGAGGGTTTCCTGTCTCTGTGTTTCAGGCAGAAGATTTGTTATCTATTTTCTGCTGAATAATTGATATGAGGGGTAGAAAAGTCATGTTTGGGGATGGGTGATTGGAGAAACTCACAGGCATAGATGGGATTTTGGGAAGGAATTCTTCCCTGTGAAGGTGGGGAGGCCCTGGCACAGGATGCCCAGGGTAGCAGTGACTGCCCCATCCCTGGGGGTGTTCAAGGCCAGGCTGGACAGGATTTGGAGCACCCTGGGATAATGGAAGGGGTCCCTGCCCATGGCAGGGGTGGGACAGGATGATGTTTAAGGTGCCATCCCACCCAGAGTGTCCTGGGATCGTTCCCCTGCAGCTCTGTCATTTCTGCTTTCAGATCCGCGGTTTGAGTTCCACGTTTGCTCCCATACTGCTGGAAATCATTCAGAGTAACCAGCCTGAGGGGGTCCATCTGTTGATGAAACAGGTATGATTACATTTCCCAGTGCTTTCCCTTTAGGAAGCAGGGAAAGGGTTTGTATGATCCTGATTTGTGGTGGTTTTCCCTCCCTCCACAGCACACAGAAGCCGATTTCAAGAGCCGACTGAAGTCTCGACCGGAGCTGGAAGAGCTGCTGGCAGAGATGTCCTGAGGTGAGGAGCAATGTGTCATCCATGGGCTGTTCCATGACCTCTGCACTGATAACTTAGTGAATTGGAAGGAATTCCACTGTTTGGAACCAGCTTGTCTCAGTAAAAATAATGTGTTTATATTTGATGGGTTTGTACTGGGAACAAAGATGCCACAATGAAATGTGGGTTTGCTTTCCTTCATTCTTTTTTTTTTTTAATTCCTGACTATTTTGCTTTTGTTATGTGGGAATTCCTGTAGAAATCTCTGTGTGAATAATGCTGTCCTGCAACAATCCCAGGAATTGTTATAACCAAATTTGATGGATGCCAAGAGAAACTGTTCCAGAAACTGGTTTGTTTGGAGGCTTTTTCTCCCCCTTTCTAAGGACCAGCTCATGAATAAGATGGAAAATAACTCATTAATTTATACTCTCCCCCAAACTGGGGCTGTCCAGGTGTTTGTGCTTCCCAGCCCCTCGGCATTCCCAGCCCCCACATCCCTGGGAAATCACCTGAACCTTCCTTCTGGCAAAAGCCATGTGAAAAAGCAATTTTATTTTATTTTTTTTCATGGCTTATTTTCCAGGAAGTGGTGGTCAGATGAGAATCCCTTTTTCTCCCATTCCTAATTATTCTGTGGCTTCCCAGGAGGATAAATCCTCTCCCCAGAAATCCCATCCTGTGGGACATGAGGTTATCACTGCTGGGAAAAGCCTTAGGATGGCACAGAGGACATGGAGTAAAAATCCATAGCAGAGCTGTTCTGGAGCCAAGAGCCAGCCTGAGTGTGCTGTGAATGCTCCTGGATTTGGGACATTTAGGGCTGCAAATTCACAACCACAGAATCATTTTGGTCGGAAAACACCTCTGGAATCATCAAGTCCAAGCTGTGTCCAGAGGACTGAGTGCCATGTCCAGTTGTTCTTGGACACCTCCAAGGATGGAGACTCCAAACCTGCTTGAGCAGCCCCTTCCAGTGTTTAAAACCCTTTGCCATGAATTTCTCCTGCTGTCCAACCTGACCCTACCGCGCCACTGCTTGACACTGTATCCCCCAAACCAGCCACCCCCTCCAGCTTGCACTTATCCAGCTGGCACAGATGGAGCCGAGAGATGACAAATTCCAGGTTTAATTTCCCAACAATTCCACCTGGATTCCCGAGCGGTTGGATAAAAATAAAGCCAAAAAGGGGGCGAAGGGCGCAGCCCCATTGCTGCGGGGCTGTCCGGGCGCTGTCAGTCCGTGGGCCGGGCCGGGCCGGGCCCGTCCTGCCGCTGCTGCCGCCGGGCCATGCAGGCCCCGAAGGCGCGGAGCTGTGCCTGGCAGTGCCGCCAGTCCTGCCGCTCCGCCATGCACTCCTGCAGCTGCCGGTGCTGCTCCAGGCAGCCGGTCCGTGCGATCATGGCATCCAGGGGATCCTCGCCCTCCTCCGCCTCGCCCTGCTCCGCCGCCGCGCGGCTCCAGGCGTGCCCGGCCTTCGCCATGGAGCGCTGGGGACCAGGGAGCGGCGCTGTCCTTTGCGGCACCCGGAGCCCTCCGCACCCTCCCCGTGCACCGCACCCCAGCCATGGGGGCCCGGCACCCTCCGCCTACCAGGGCTCCCCATGAACGCCCAGCCCCCTGCTCGCCTCCCAGGGCTCCCCATGAACGCCCAGCCCCCTGCTCGCCTCCCAGGGCTCCCCATGAACGCCCAGCCCCCTGCTCGCCTCCCAGGGCTCCCCATGAACGCCCAGCCCCCTGCTCGCCTCCCAGGGCTCCCCATGGACGCCCAGCCCCCTGCTCGCTTCCCAAGGCCCCCATTCCCCCACGGATCCCCTCCCCGCCCCACCCATGGGCGCAGCCCCCGTACCAGCGCAGCACGGTCCCTTTAAGGCGGGAGCTCGGCAGGGCACTTCCGGGGCGCGGCCCGGCCGCCGCGGCTCTCGCTGATTGGCGAATTTCTCCTATTTCCGCTCGCGCGGTGATCGACGGGAAGTAAAGAGGCGGAAGTGCGTGCAGTTACCTCGGCAAAGATGGCGGCGACGCTGCGGATCCAGAGCGACTGGAGCCGGGCGTTGAGGTGGGAACGGTTCCTTTCTTTGTTTCTGTCCTTATCCTGTTCCCTGCCCCGCTCACGGCCGCTTCTTCTCTCTGCAGCAGGGACGAGGGCGAGGCGTGGCTGAGCTGCCGCAGCCCCGGTGAGTGGTCTGAAGAGGCCTCGAGGGGGCCATGGGGATGAGGGGGGATCGGGGAGGATCGAGAGGGTTCTGGGGGTGAAAGGTGTTTGGGAAACCCTTTGTGTTAGGGGCTGGCGGCGGGGTGCCCCGTGTGTTAGCAAGGAACAGGGCTGCCGGGGTGCCCTGTGGTTCAAACGGGTGCGGGCGGCTGGGCGTCCCTTGGTTTAAAAGGCATGGGGCTGGTTTGGGGATCCCTTTGGTTTTAAAGGGCGTGGGGTCATTTGGGGGCCCTATGGGGCTAGGAGGGGATGGGGGTGTTTGAGTTCCTGGTGGGCAAGGAAGAGGTGAGGGTGGTTGGGGTCCTTCTGAGCTGGGAGGGGTGTTTGGGGTGCCTGTGGGTGTTTGGGCTCTGGGGCTCACGGCTGCTGTCCCCCAGGGAAGCCCACCCTGTATGGCAGCGTCACCCGGCGCGGGCTCAGCTCTGACGGCGTCCCGGACATCGTGGCCTCCGAGGGATTCGTGGTCGGGGAAGTCACCAAGGTGCCAGGGCTGGGGGGAGAGGGGTTGCTGACCACCCCCCATACATAAAGGGGGCTGCTCTGACAGCCCAAGCTGCCCCCCAGTCCCTGCCCAGTCCTGTCCTGCCATCCCGAGCCTCCTGCTGTGCAGAGCCCTGGAGCTGGTCCCTACCATCCCACAGGGCTGGAGCAGCCATTCCTTCCCACCCACATCCTGATGAAATGAGCCCAACACTGACCCTCCCATCAGTTCCAGGTTCTGGGATCCCACAGCTGGGTCCAGGACACAATTCTACCTCGGTAACCTCTGTTTCAGGATTAACAGCACTTCTAATTCCTTTTCTCCTTATTTCCTCCCCTAGAAAAGCATCCTCGTTTCTTGTCCTCAAGAAAATGCGTGCACAAAGTTCTTGGCTCCGTACACAAGTTTTTGTAGGATTCATCAGAAAAGTGTGAGTAGCCTTGTGAGGTGGGAATCTCTGGGTGTGATTGGCAACTCTCACACCCCTGTCCGTGGTGTCCTCGCAGTGAGGGGTGGCCTGGAGTGTGGATTTGTGTGGGAGGGGTTGGAATGGAGATGGAACTGCGATCCTGTGGTTTAGGACTGGTGTTCCCACTGAAACCCCCCGGACCACGTGCTACTCATTCCTTCCCTCTTCCCCCTGCAGCGGGATGGAAACGGGGACTGGAGGCACAAAAGACAAAGATTGGGGTTGAGATAAGAACAATTTACTGAGAACAGCAATGGAATAAAAAAAGAAACAGTAACAATATTAATTAACAAAACGTACAGGACAGGGAAGAGATCCGCTCACCACAAGGAACCCAAAACCCGAGCTCCACCCGATATCCCAAACATCTCCTGCCCCTCCCTGCTCCTGTAAAAATTAACCCTGTCCTGGCCAGAACCAGGACATTCCCCACCCATCGTTCTATCCCATCTCCTAATGCCCAGATCCCACACCACCCTCAAAAGCACCGGAATCATTCCCTTAATTAAAGGCTGTCCCTCTTAAATGTATTTATATCCATTATACTGCTTTTCCTTGTTATCAGTGAACTTCCAACCCCTCTCATTGGTATCCAGAGGCTTTTTAGCTGTGTTCTTTTGAATTTTTAAATGCTTCTGATTTTTTTTCTCCTGCTGCCATTTTTTCACTTGTACTTCTGAGTCTTATGAAATCGATCCAGTCCATTCTTTCAGACTTTGTTCTCTTCAACACTTCTCTTTGGGAGCTCTTCTAAAACACTGATCTTTTCCAAGGCTTGGCTTTGTAACGTTTCGGGTTGTTCCACGCAGGACGCTCGGGGACGTCCGCAGGTAAGACAGCGTAGTCACGGCAGATGGGGCAGGTGCTGGAATGCTCCTGGAGCCATGTCCTGATGCACTTCCTGTGGAATTCATGCCCACACTCCAGTTCACACGAGTTTCTGCCTAGCTCCTCATGGCATATTGTGCAGGGATCATTACTGGTGGCTGCGTACTCCTTAGGCTGTATTTCCAAGTGGGACAAGCTGCCGTGTGGCCAGGAAGAGGGTTTCAGTGCATAGTCCATGATGAAGGCCTTTAATTTTATCACCTTTAGGGCCCTATTCCACGTGACTGATGAGAGCACCTCGGCAAAGACCGGTGGCGCGCTCTTGGTGAACGCCTCCCAGATATGCCAGGTGCAGTAGGCGCCGTCCGGATCGCTGAGGTACCGACTGTTCTGCGTATTCCCAAAGAGGATATCCGCCATAGTTAGCTCTGTCAGGTACTGAATACCTTCCCATATGCTGTTCCAGCTGTCCCGGTACACCAGCAGGTCATCCGCAGTGTACACGTCCCTCACGGTCCACACCAGCCGCATCCAGAGGCTGTGAGTTCCCGTCTTCCTCCAAATCCCCCTGTCAATGGCCACGTCCCGGGACAGGTATCCCAGCTGCCTGGCTTCGTATCTGTCTAGGAGTACATCCACATCAGCTCCTGCAAACCAGCACTCGTACAGCCACAGCAGCACGGACTGACGCGGAGGGCGGGAGAAATTCTGATGGATTTCTTGCAGCTTACGCTGGGATTCACTGATTGGCTCTGACTCTTCATCCTCTTCATCCCTCGCTAAGGAAACTGATTTGGTCTCGGATGTGCTCTGTTCAGGAGCAACTGTTCTCAGCATGGGTTGTTCCTCTGGTGCAGCTGCAGCTTGAGTGGCCACGGCGCCTGCTGCTCTGTTCTCCCCCTCCTCTTCCTTCTCCTCCTGAGGGGACTGGCTGGTATCCAGCAGTGTCCGATAAAGAGTAGCCAGGGCCCAGCACAGTGCAGTAAGTTGCTCCTCCCTGGAACCATCGCAGCGTTTCTCTTTCAGATACTCTGCCACTTTAACAGGGTGCTGGATTTGTTGAGGGGTGAACTTCCAAACCACTGGAGCCGAATACTCCTTCAAAACCTGGCCGATTTTCTCCCAGCGTCCGTGCCACTCATCATTATCCAACCTCTGGAAGACCTTGCCAATAATCTCTTTTGTAACTCTAAAGATGATGTAGATCCTAAAGATGATGTAGGCCAGAGCCAGGAGACATAGCACACACAACAATGATATCCTTCCTTCGATATTCAGAGGGAATCCAGAATCCTCAAAAGCTGCTATAAGAGGCTTGAAGGAGTCAAAAAAGACTAGAGGGTTGTGAAAATATTTGTAGCCTGTTCCCCCCATGAACTGGGAACGATTATTAATGATCTCCTGGAGGTAGTATATCATGTCACGAGTTGATACCACATAATCTACGCACATAAGAATCTTGAACCATCCCTCTAAACTCTTAAAGTGCGTTATCAGGACCACATAGGGAATTACAAACCTGTACAGGTACCACTCCACTGAGGGCAGACAAAGGCACATCATGACCAGCGACTGTACCTAGCACACTCGGCTCAAACTTGCTTCCACCCCGCTGCGGGCAGAGCTGTTCTTATCTCGACCCTCGGTGCCACACGATGGATGGGGCTTGCGGCGCTTCGGGATTGGTATTCCCGAAATTTAGCGTTCCCACGGGGGAGGCTGCAGCGGGGAACCGGAGGCACCGAAGGCAGCAATCAGGGGCTGAGGCCAGAACAACTCACTGGGAACAGCAATGGACAGGGACCGACCGCGGGGACCAGGCTGGCAAGAAGGGAATCCGGGAAAAAAAGCCGGGAAAAAGGACTTTTTCCCGCCGGCGCACGGAGGGGTGGGATAGGAGAACATCCGGCTCCGGCCCTGCCCCTCGTGCTGCCGGAAAACTTAACCCCGGCGTGGCTAAAGCTCATCTGCATGTCTTCCTCCTGCCCTTGGATTTTACCGCTGCAGCGGGTCTTCCCCCCCACAGCCTGAAAATTCAATTCAAAACTTGCAATGCAAATGCAGCTCACAGAATCACAGAATTCCTCGTGTTGGGAAAGACCTCTGAGCCCATCGAGTTCCAGCTGTGCCCAATGCCCACCCTGTCCCCAGCCCAGAGCACTGAGTGCCACCTCCAGCCCTTCCTTGGGCACCTCCAGGGATGGGCACTGCAAACCCCCCTGGGCAGCCCCTGCCACAGTGTAAAACCCCTTTCCATGAGGAAATTCCTGCTGATGTCCAACCTGGCCCAGCCTGAGGCCGTTCCCTCTCCTCCTGTTCCCCCCCAGCTGTCCCCTCCTGTCAGGGAGTTGTGCAGAGCCAGAAGGGCCCCCTGAGCCTCCTTTTCTCCAGGCTGAGCCCCTTTCCCAGCTCCCTCAGCCCCTCCTGGGGCTCCAACCCCTTCCCAGCTCCGTTCCCTGCCCTGAACACACTCTAGCCCCTCCATGTCCTTCTTCTGAGGGGCCCCAAGTTTGAATAAAAAACAAGAATAGTTTTGTTTCAGTGCTTCAGCAAATTTAGGCTGTGATTTTGGCTTCATAAATATCTCAAACTTGTGGGCTTGTGAGTCGGGCTAGTTACTGTGAGCTGTTTTCTTATTTCTCATCTGTTTACAGGACCTGTTAGAGAAGTCCAGATTTCTCTTCCACCTGGGATAAACCTGGAATACAATGGCAGGCTTTTGCCTCACATTCCTTTTTCTCCTTGCCCTGCAGAGTCACAGGCGGAGAATGTTCTTAGCAGGTTTCCCCCTGTTCAGAATTAGGCTCTTGAGCAGAAATATTTATATACAGAATTATATAAAGCTAATTCTTGGTGCTTTTACCTTTTTGCAGATTACCTGCCTTGATATTTCCAGTGGTGGAGGACTTGGTGTGTCTACCAGCACAGATGGGACCATGAAAATATGGCAGGCTGCAAATGGAGAAATAAGAGTAAGAGCATCTGGCTTGGATGTTTTGTGTTGTCTGTAACATTCCTGAAGGCCATGACTTTGGTCAGGCTGTCCACACCCTGTGAAGAATCTGGCTTTTTAATGAAAAGCTAATTGAAACTGGGCATTTTGGAGACTTTAAGTCAAATCTGTTGGAAAAGGTGTCTTCTCCCAAGGGGGATGTTGCTCAGAGAGGTACGCAGGAATAACAGGTCACTGACGGCCCCTATCCTATGTGGTAAAAGCACTCAATCTCTTATGAAAGAGAGAAGAGGGGAGGAAAAAAGATTTTGGTGCTGGATTAGCTGGATTGGCTACATCCTGGCTTGTGGCCTTCTCAGTAAAGGGGGGGAAAGCTCCTTCTTGTGGAGTTTCACCTGTCAGCTCCTTGTTTGGCAGAGCATAAAGATGTTTAACCCATAATTAGAAGCAAATGTAGTATCTTTTGCTATGTAATTAGCTGCTCAGATGGTAGAGGGAGGCCCAAAGTCACCTATTGACCAAATTCAGACCAGTCCATTCCAGCAATGCAGACCCAGAGGATCTGAGTTTAATCCTTTTCCTGTGTGAGAATGCCAAATTTTCCAGTGTCATAACAACTGCTCGGCACAAGGATGATGACAATGGAACTAGCACGTAGTTCTTTGTTTTTCCAGAGACTTTTGGAAGGCCATGTGTATGATGTGAATTGTTGCAGGTTTTTCCCATCTGGCCTCGTGGTTCTGAGTGGGGGAATGGATGCCCAGCTAAAGATCTGGTCAGCAGAAGATGCCAGCTGTGTAGTAACATTTAAAGGTCACAAAGGAGGTACAGAGCTCTAAAAATGCTTAATTTGCTGTGTGTGTACTTGCCTTGCACTCCAGGGCTGATGTCCAGTCTCCAGCTTGCTGCACTCTGTGTTTGATGTCTGGAATGTGGCATCAGATGCCCCAGATGCTACCCCAAATTATCACTTCCCTGAGCTACCAATTGCTGTGTCCAGGCTCTGGTTTTCTCTGTCCCATGAGGCGCTGGGCTTGATTGAGAGGTTAATAAACCCCATGTCTGGCTGCCCTGAGCTTGATTAACTCAAAAACCCTTCTTGTGTTGAACCTGCTGTTGTTCTTACACGATTTGGGAGTTGGAACTTGATCTTCAAGGTCCCTTCCCACCCAAGCCATTCTATAATCCTCTTGTGTGCACTGAAAGTGCTTTTGCAGGGATGTCCCCTAACCAAGCCAGATGGTGTGACAGAACCTTGGTCAGAGTGATGCTGCCAGTCACTCCCAGGTGACTTTAGTCACTGCTTATTCCTCTAGCCCAAACTGCTGCAGTCTGTTTGCTTGGCTTATCCTGTCCTTTGAGCTTCAATAGGGAACGTGCCAATTAAATCTTCTGACCACCTGCCTCTTCTCTGCTAAGAAAACCACTGTCGTTTTTCACATCCAAATTTGACAGCCCACAGTAAAATAAAGTAGTTAAGGGATCTTAGAGCCAGCAGACACTGCTCTTTGGATGTTGCTGTAGCTGGATAAGAGGGATGCTGCTTTTGGGGTTATCCAGGGGTGGATATGGGAACATTTAAAAGTGCCAGGCTCTTTTCTGCCCAAATTAGAGCTTAATTTTGTGTGGCACCAGCTTGGGCTGAGATGAGGTGTTGCTGATCATTTGATTGATAATATCTTCCCTTTGTGCCAGATGGTGGTTCTGCTCTGTGAGGTTTCCTGGGAGCTGCTGCCTTCCACAGGCACCTTTTTCTAGAAGCACAACTTGTCTGTGTGTGACTGCTGTCACTGGGGACAGTAGTCGAGTTCAGCTCGGGAAATTAGGTGCTTTTTTGTGTCAGTACAAACAAAGTCTTTGGTTTCATGCAGGTATTTTGGACACTGCCATTGTGGATCGGGGAAGAAATGTCCTGTCCTGCTCCAGGGATGGCACTGTCCGTCTCTGGGACTGTGGGAAATCTGCCTGCCTGGGCGTCATCGCCGACTGCGGCTCTCCCGTCAATGGCATCGCCGTGGGCACTGCTGACAACTCCCTGAACCTGGGCTCACCTGAGAAACCTCCCAGTAAGGGGCTTTCCTTTAAAATCCCCCTTCTTTTCCCTGTCCCAAGCTGCTTAGGGTTGTCACCAGTAATCCCAAGTGTCTCCAATGCTGCTCCATGTCCTTGAAGGGAGCAGAGTGCTCCAGTCCCGGGTGGAATTCAGCCCTATCAAGCAGTCTGAGTGATGGAGACTGAGTTCTGTGTGGTTACTGGCCCTCTTGGTGTCTTGGGATCTGAAAGAATCTTGCCACAATTCAGCTGGGGTGATCCAAGCTGTTGGGTTCTGATCCCATCAAGATTTGTTGTGTAGCTACTGCTGGTGTTACCTGTTGTTCTTTTTGCCAGGTGAGCGTGAGGTCGGGACAGAAGGGAAAATCCTGCTGCTGGCTCGAGAGGACAAGAAGCTTCAAGGAGTGGGACTGCAGAGCAGGCAGCCAGTAAGGACCTGGGACTGTCAAAGCACTGGAATGGGGAATTGAGCCAGGTTAAACCTAAACTGGAGGAGAGGCCAAAGCCTGGTGCAGTAAGGGATGTTCTCTCCTTCCTGGACAGATTTTTATGTGAGGAGTAAGAATTGCTCAGGATTTAACTTGGGAACAGGGAAGACAGTATTTGAAATTAAACAGTGGCAGCTGTACTGTCTTCTAAATAAATTTGTAATAATAATTATCATAATAATAAAATTTTGGGTGTCCCACGAGTCTGACACTTTGTTTGTTCCCAAATTCTCAGGTGTTCCTCTTTGTTGGATCTGATGCCTTCAACTGCTGCACGTTCCTGTCAAGCACCTACATTCTGGCAGGGACTCAGGATGGGAACATCTACCAGCTGGATGTGAGAAACACAAAGTGAGTGCGTGCCTGGGGCAAGCAACCAGTGTTTTGGTTGGAAAAGAGAGTCAGGCAGAGCTTGCCACCAGCCAGTGCCACTTCCGAGGGGTGCGTTCCATTGCACCAGGAGCTCCTGAGCCTCTTGCATTATGTTGTGTGTGTTGTTACATAAACATTTGGATAATTTTATGTTTGTATCATCTGTGTGCATGTACATGCAGCAATATTCTCCCCTCCCACACAGCCTATTTCTTTCCCTCACTTGAGTGTCTTTGTAGGATCCTGACGTTTACCCTGGTCCTCATTCCAGCATAGGACTGGAACTGAGCTGTGGAGCTTTCCTGCTGTTCCCTGCTAACTCAGTCCATAGGAAAGAATCATGGAATGGTTTGGGTTGGAAGGGACTTTAAAGCTCATCCAGTTCCACCCCTTCCAATGGGCAGGGCCACCTTCCACTACCCCAGCTTGCTTCAAACCCCATCCAGCCTGGCCTTGGACACTGCCAGGGATCCAGGGGCAGCCACAGCTTTTCTGAACAACAGTCCTCATCCCTTGTTTCTCCTCCTTTTCCTAGTGCTCCAGTCCAGGTGATCCATAGATCAGGAGCACCAGTGCTTTCCCTGCTCCCGTACCGAGATGGATTTATTGCCAGCCAAGGTAATTCCAGGGCAGTTTTGTGCCTGTCGAAATCCTATAATCAAGTCAAGGAGCCTTGTGGTCTTTGGGCATTGTCCTCTTGCCCCTTTGCTTTGGGATTTCCACCCTCCATGTCCCTCAAGAGGGCCTCCAAGGCACATCTCACCCTCTGGAGCCTTTTCCTGATGGAATTTCTGTTTGTAGTTCAGAGTGTGGGTTGCTTCACTAATTGGCTGCTGTGCCTTCCTTGCAGGGGATGGCACCTGCTTCATTGTTCAGCAAGACCTGGATTATGTCCTGGATCTCACTGAGGCCGACTGCGACCCCGTGTACAAGGTCAGGAACGTGGGGTGTCCCTGAGGAGAAAGTGGGCAGGGAAAGCTGGTGCCAGGCTGGAGGCAGCTGCCTTTACCTCAGGTTTTTCACCTCAGCAGGTTCCTTCGGACAGCTGACTTTTGAATTTATTTTTTTTCTACCTGAATAATCCTTAATATTTTGCATAAACCAATCCTCTGCAGAATTTCCTAGCTTTATCTCCGTTGTGCAGGAGCTGACTGGGATGGTGGAGTTGGAGCAGCTCTGGCAGAGCTCTGTTCCTAGAGCAAGTGTGGATGAAGGGTACTGGGAGAATCCTGAGAGTAAAAGCAGTGGTGCTGCCTGACTCATCTTGGGGGATTTGGGGCCAGGAATGGGGTCTAGCTCTGTGTTTCAGACATCCAGCTGTGCTTGGACAGATCAGGGAGTGCAGCCTGGACTGTCAGCCTGGAAATGGGCCCTTGTTTTTAACCTGTCCTAGCTCCACAGTCCTGTTCTCCATATCCCACCCAACACAGCCCCTCAGGTGAACACGCAGGGGGATTGAGGTTTGACCTGCACAACTCAAAGCAGGAAAAATGCTTTTCCACACTTAATTTTCCCTTGGGATCTGTTAGAAGAACCCTTGTGTGGGGACACATCTGATCCCTAAACTCTGGTAAAACCTGGAAATGTCCTTTAAAAGCTGCTAGTGGTGTTCCAGGAGGAATTTCCCGCCTCTTTCCTTTGTGAAAGTCCAGAAGGAAAGCTCATCTCTGAGGATTTCACTGGGAACCATCACTTGGAAAACACTTTGTGTAAATACTGCTTTTTTTTTTTCCTTCTTCAGGTGGCTTCCTGGGAGAAAGAAATCTACACTTGCTGCAGGGATGGGATAGTGAGGAGATACCAACTTTCCGACCTTTAAGTGTTTGAAGGGGCCAGATAAAGGAGAAGTGTGTCGGAAAGGCTCTTCCAAGCTGATTTTCTTGGGATGGGTGTGTACAAGTTTGAGGCTGTTGTGATGACCAGGCTCCATACACAGTGTTTTTGTGACGGGTGGTATTTTTTCCTATTACACAACTGGGATCAATTTTTAATTGAGAGAGGATCTCGTGTTGCAATGATGTTGTGATTTCATTTCCAGTGGTGAAAAAATGTAGTTGGGGGGAAATAAAGAAATAAATGGGGAGAGGGGGGTGCAGTGAAAGTGACTGTTATAGTATGGAGCGAAATAAACCGCTGCTTTGTTAACAAAGTGTTCATACGTGCGTTTTCATGAGAACTTGGGGATTTTTAAGAAAAAAGAGATGAGGGTGAGGGTTGAGCGGGCCCGGCGGAGTGCGGAAGTGAGCGGGAGAACTGCGTTTCCCGTGATGCCCCGCGCGGCGCGGACCTGAAGTCGTGTTGCTATAGCAACGGGACGCCATGGGGCTGGACTACTACGCTGTGCTGGAGCTGGACCGCGGGGCCACCGCCGACGACATCAAGAAGGCGTGAGGGACCTCCAGCATCAGAGAGAGCCCCTGGGCCGGGGGGCAGCCGGGGGGCGGCGGTGGGAGTGGGGCGGCCCCGTGAGTGGCTGTGCTCGGCCTTCCCCCGTGCCCCACAGCGGGGACTGGGAGGGGGAAAAGGTCTGGGGGCTGTGCGGGGCAGCCCGGGCTGGATGTGGGAATGGCGTGTCTCCTGTCCCCTTCAGTGGGTCTGGAGGGGCCATGGCGATACTCTGAGGGCTGGAGCCCCTCTGCTCTGGGGCCAGGCTGGGAGAGCTGGGGGTGCTCACCTGGAGGGGAGAAGGCTCCAGGGAGAGCTCAGAGCCCCTTGCAGGGCCTGAAGGGGCTCCAGGAGAGCTGGAGAGGGACTGGGGACAAGGCCTGGAGGGACAGGAAAAGAGAGAACACCCAGAGGGCAGGGTCAGAATGGGATACTGGGAAGGAAATTGTGGCTGTGAGGGTGCCCAGAGAAGCTGTGGCTGCTCCTGGATCCCTGGGAGTTGCTCCAAGCCCTGTCCAACCTGGGATAGTGGAAGGTGTCCCTGCCCGCGGCAGGGGGTGGGAATGAGATGGGCTTTAAAAAGTCCCCCCAAACCATCCTGTGATCCTCAGTTATCGGAAGTTGGCCCTGAAGTACCACCCATTAAAATGCAAGGAGCCCTGGGGGCCGAAGAGGTTCCAGCAGCTGGCAGAGGCTTACGATGTGCTCAGCGACCGTAAGTGGGGAGTGACCCCTTCCACTGACTGCAGGGGCAGGAATGGGGTGTGAATTCCTGGTTCCTGGCAGGACCACAGTGACCCACAGCCCAGCTGGGAACTGGCACACACTCCCATGTCTATCCTGCAAACCCTCTTCTCCAGCCTCCACCCAAACAAAACCTGCGTCTCAGGCTGGGGCTCTCCCTCGATTCCCAATGCTTCCTTGTTCCCCAAGCTATGAAGAAAGGCATCTACGACAAATTTGGGGAAGAGGGGCTCAAAGGTGGCATCCCCTTGGAGTTGGCGAGTGACAACCCTTGGAGCGTCGGATACGTGTTCCACAACAACCCTGAAAAAGTCTTCAGGGAGTTCTTTGGAGGGGACAACCCTTTTGCAGGTAGGCTGGGAGACCTGGAGGTGTCAGCTTTCCCCAGCTGCTCCTTTCTGGGATTCCCATCAAAAAGAGGGATTAGGGAGGCGAGGCTGCCATAAACGCTCCTGGAAAGAAAACGCTTCTGGTGGTTCCAGGTGGGAGAAGATGGGAGGTAAAGACCCTGGAGGGACCCCCCAGCTCTGACCCCAGTGAGGGGCTGTCCCTCTGCTCCCTCACACAGAGTTCTTTGCTGAGGATGGCTCGGAGGTGCTGCTGCCCTTTGGAGGGCCCCGAGGCCGGGGGGCCCTGCGGCGGGACCCCCCCATCGTGCGGGATCTCTACGTGTCCCTCGAGGACCTGTTCCATGGCTGCACCAAGAAGATTAAGATCTCCCGCAGGGTAGGGGGCGAAGGGGGCGGATTTTGAGGTGAGCTCTGCCCTCCACACTGAGGATTTGGGGTTGGGCCTGCCCTAGGGGTTTGTCTCAGGGAGGGATTAGCACCAAACCCAGAAGGACCTGAACCAGTGTTCTCTTCCCCCAGCCTGGCAAAGGGAATTCATTACAGGAGGCAATGGGGGAGCAGGTAGGAAGCGAGGGCTGATCTCAGAGATGGGTAGAGAAGGAGCTCATTGTGTTCTGGCCTCAAATAATCCCATTTTCACGTTGCATTGTGTCTCCTTTTTGTGCCCTTGGTGACCTCTGTCCCCCTCCTTGTTGTCCCAGTCTCCTGGACCCAGCCCTGTGTCTCTCCTGCTCTAGGACATGAGGAAACAGCCTCGAGCTGTGCCAGGGGAGGTTTAGGTTGGATATGTGGAAAAATTTCTGCACTGAAAGGGTGGTCAGGCATTGGAATAGGCTGCCCAGGGGAGCAGTGGAGTCCCCATTCCTGCAGGGATTTAAAGCTATGTGCTTGTGGCACTTGGGGATATGGGTGAGTGGTGGCCTTGGCAGTGCCAGGGGAACAATTGGACTCCATGATCTTGGAGGTCTTTTCCGAGCTAAATGATCCCATGATCCTGTGATCTGATCCTGTGTGTACCCACAGCCACTTTGGTGTGGAGGACAAGCCACCCTTGGCCTTTCCTCTGGTGAGCAGAGCACTCTGACCCTCCCTCTCTGTGCACCCCCAGGTGATGAACGAGGATGGGCAGACAAGCACCATCAGGGATAAGATCCTAACAATTGATGTGCAGCCGGGATGGAAGCGCGGCACCAGGATCACCTTCGAGAAGGAAGGAGACCAGGTAAGCACAGAGTCACACAAGAGTCAGGTTTGGAAGGGACCTCTGGAGACCACCTCACCCAACAGCCCTGCCCAGGCAGGGTCATCTGGAGCAGGAACTCATCCAGGTGGGTTTGGGATGTCTCCAGAGAGGGAGACTCCATGCTCCAGTCCTGTGCTCTCTCCATGGAAAAAGTTCTTCCTTGAAGAAGCTCTGGTTTGCCATTGCTGAGGGCACTTGGCAGCAGGACCAACAGAGGCTCAGCATTACTGTGCCCAGAAGCACTCTGAGGAGCCATCCCTGCCTGGATTTTCCTTAGAACAGGCTGAAGAACAAAGAATTGAAAAGGGGTGGGTTTTCTTCCTGACTGAAACAGTTTTGGATTTGCCCTTGGCTGAGCAGGCGTCTTGGATAAAAGACTCCTTTTTCTCTTAAGGGAAGAAAATACCTTTCCCTTCTCTTCTAGCCAGCTGAAAACAGCAACAAAAGAGCAGTTTTCCCTGTATAAAATAATTTTCAGTTTTCCAGCTGAACAACAGACAGGCTGGATGTGGCTTGGGGCAACCTGGTCCACTCATGGCAGGGGGTGGAACTGAGTGAATTTTAATGTCCCTTCCAACCCAAGCATCCTGGCATTCCATGATTCTGTGATTTTTCCCCTCTCAATTAGGGCCCTAACATCATTCCAGCTGACATCACCTTTGTTGTCCAGGAGAAGCTTCACCCCAGGTTCAAAAGAATTGACAACAACCTCCTTCACGTTGCCAGCATCCCCCTGTCAAAGGTAAAGGGCCGAGTGAGGGGACAGAGCTCCACCTTTGGGCTCTGGGGCTGCAGCAGCAGCTGCTGGTGCCACTCCATGCCCAGCAGGCGCTGACTGGATTCACTCTGGATGTGTGGACGCTGGATGGGAGGCTGCTGAACATCCCCATCAACGACATTGTGGAGTAAGTGCCAGGGGAAAACGGGGCTCAGGGCTGAGCAAGCACATGGGAGGGACTTGGCCTGCTCCAAAACCTTTTCCAGCAGGTTTGGGGCTGCAGGAGGAGGATGCCCACAGTGGGTAGCTCTTCTGGTCTGGGGCCATGTTGCTGGGAGCAGAGGCAAGGAGAGGGCTGGGTGTGGGTGGATGAGGGTGGATGCTGGAGCCTGGAAGAGGAGGACAGGCCCTGGTTGAAGCTGGAGGAGCAAATAACCTGAGAAACCCAGCTGGGGCTCTGCAGGTGGGGCTGGGGTTCATGGCCCCCACGTTGGGATCATCCCATGGCCCCTCTCAGCCCCTTCCTTTGCTTGGCAGCCCCAAGTACTACAAAATGGTGCCAGGGGAGGGAATGCCGCTGGTCCAGGACCCCCAGCACAAGGGGGACCTCTACATCTACTTTGACATCCTCTTCCCCAAAAGGCTCAGCCCTGAGGTGAAAACACTCTTGAAAAGCATCCTCCAGCCCTAGGGACAGTGACCTTCCTCCTCTCCCCCTCCCTTATTCCCCACCCCCCCAATAAAGCTTTGGAGCCAGCACTGGGACTGGGCAGAAGTTCTTCCAAATGCTGGGAACCCTAAGCCACAGGATCACCCTAAAACAACAGCCCTGAGGCCTGGCCTGGGTCCTGCTGGCTTTGTGGTCTCTGCTCCCACCCTGCAGCAGCAGCTCTGCAGCCCCAAGGGAGGATTTGGGGGGATAGAGGGAGGCACCCATGGCCAAGACCCTGCCCACTGGCCTCAGTGCTTTATTTTCCTAATCCCAGAATCCGTCCCTGCCAAAGCTGAGCCCTGACAGTGCAGGGAGAGGTCAGGTAACACTTGTGTTGCCTTTTCCAGTGGCACTCCAGGGCTGGGAGAATGCCCTAAAAGGGGAGGAAACGCTGACCCTGCTGCGATCAGACCCCATAGGGGAGGCTTATTGCAAGTGCCAGTAGGGAATAACAGGAAGCTGTGCTGGGAAAAGCAGCTGAAGGGAACATGCCAGGGATATCCACATCCCAAAGGCAGCGTGGGTTGGGATATTTGGGGTTTAGTCAGCACAGTGAGGTTGTGGGTGCTCAGTGAGGCATCCCCCACTCACCCTTTGGAGAGACCAGAAAACATCCTGGGTGAGGGATGAAGGCACCTGGGCACAGGGGCTGCCTCACCACGAGCCAGGGAGCATGTCCAGAGATCAGCTGAATCCTAGGGAATTCCCTCAAGTCTCCCACAGGGACATCAGTGGGGCTGTGGGGATGAGGGTTATAAATAGCCAGTTCTTTGGGATATAAACCTGTCATTATCCTGATCCTGGCTGAGACCTCAGATCCCTGAACACCACAGCTCCATCACCCCAGAGGAGCTCTGTGGATTCCAAATTCTGGAAACAGCCTCCAAACTGTTGTAGGATAATACTTTAGAATGTCTCAAAGGGCAGCAGCTCCTGCAGCCCTGAGCACCACAATTCCACGATCCCAAGGGATCCTGTGGCTGCAGACCTGCTGCTCCTCGGGTTCTGCACAGCCAGCTGGGATCCTGCATTCCCAGGAAAGGGACATTAAACCAGGAATCAGGGAATCCCTGCACACCTCCACTGTGAGAGGTGACACCAATGCAAATAGAACAGTGCCCTGCTCCAGCATTTTCATCCTTACCTATTTTAGCCATTAAAAAGATGCTCCTTTTTCTTACTCTATTCTTTGCCTGTTTTATCACAACCATTTTCATCCCAGATCCCACTTGTCAGTTACTCAATCATTTACCATTGCACTTTGGACAAAATAAGGGACACCAGGGATGCTGGACCACAGGAAATCTGCAGGAGAAACCCGTAAGAACCCAACAGAGAAAGGTTTCAAGGTATTCCACAATGCAGAAATCTGTCCATGCCTTGTCAGGCCACCCCAGTTCTGTCACATCCACCTGAGCTGTGCAGGTGAGGCCAAGGCTTCCCTTCCTCCTGGGAATATTAATAATCATAATATTGTCAATATCAGATATGAGATATCAATATCAGACATTGCCAATATCAGATATGAGATATCAATATCAGACATTTCCAATATCAGACATTGCCAATATCAGATATCAGATATCAATATAAGACATTTCCAATATCAGATATCAATATCAGATACCTATCAATATCAGACATTGCCAATATCAGATATGAGATATCAATATCAGACATTTCCTATATCAGATATCAATATCAGATACCTATCAATATCAGACATTGCCAATGTCAGACATTGCCAATATCAGATATGAGATATCAATATCAGACATTTCCAATATCAGATATGAGATATCAATATCAGACATTTCCAATATCAGACATTGCCAATATCAGATATCAATATCAGACATTGCCAGTATCAGATATCAGATATCAATATCAGACATTTCCAATATCAGATATCAGTATCAGACATTGCCAATATCAGACATTGCCAATATCAGAGTTCTCTGCCCACCAAGGACACCCCAGCCAGGAGGGACATTTCTCCCACTCTCCAACAGAGACCTCAGGGAGATTTTCCAGCCTGGCAGGTGCTCCACTGGGCAGCTGTCCAGGCCAAGTAGCTCCTCTGGATTTGTGCAGTAATTGGAGCTAAGAAAGGGACATTAACCAAGTATTCCAGGCTGACTGGAATTAAAAGATGCTGGCCAGAACATTCTGTCTGGGAATTTCATGCAAGAACCCGAGGAAGATGAGACACTCACTGGAGTGGGCTGTACATGGATAATCCAGCCATGAGAGGGCAGTGAGACCCAGCTCAGAGTGAAAAACATTTCGTTTACAGAACACTTCTGGTTTTGCTCTGCCAGTCTGTTCAGTGAGGAATTGTTTCAAAATTCCCACGACCTCTCTCTGCTGCGGGGCAAATCAATACAAGGGTTTGCTCCTGCTCGTGCTGGGAGGAGAAATGAATCCCAAAGAAAGAAGCTTTTACAGCTGATGGGAAAGGTTAAAAAGAGTAAGTAGGAAACACTGCCCTGTGTGTTGCTTGTCACTGCAGTTGTGCCACAGAACCTCTTCCAAAACATCAGAGAGCACCCCAAAACCGTAAGCAGGCAAACCCCAAGGGTTCCCCATTCACTCCTAGCTCAAATCACTTTCCTTGACATACCTTTTATCACCAAGAGACCTTATAATTAATTATCTTATCCCCAAAATGTTTATTGTCTCCCCTCCAGATTACATTAATTTTCTCTCCAAAATATTCGTTGTAGCTTAATAGATCTACTCAAGTTTTACTCCCAAATTTTCCTTATCTCTCCACTACTGATCACCTCAGTTTACCTCAAAATATGGTTCTCTATCATGGAGATTACCTCAGATTTTAACCTCATAATTTTCACTACGTGGCAACTTCTAATTACCTCATTTTAACCTCAAAATATTCATTGTCTCCCCTACAGATTAACTCAGATTTTATGCCCAAGCTCTTAATGTTGTCCCCTATAGATTACCTCAGATCTTTCCTCCAAAATGTTTGTTGTCTCTTACACTTCACAAAAAAAAAAAAATCCATAATTAAAAAGAGAAAATTGCTGAAAAGCAGTCAAAATTCTCAGTGAAAAAAATAACAGCATGGAACTAGGAAAACGAGCTAAGAGCTGAAGATATTTTTTTGCTCAATATCCTTATGATCTGCAATAAGTGATAATTTTACACTGGGAATGAACCCTTAGTTCCTCTTAAAGGGAGGACAGAGTTGCAACACATTGTGAGTGTCATGAATTGTTTTACCACTCGAAGAACTTCCCAATTTTCTCAGTGTGGCAAAGAGAAGGTTCAGAGGAGGAATTAAAACCCAGGGATGCACCTTGCTTTTCTAACTCGCTGCTTAGCTGTGCCAGAGTTTAAAATGTTAAAATTCCTGAGCACCCTCACTTGGCTCTGCTCTGCTGGTTGAGCTGAGTCACCTGAAAATATAATTTTCAAAATTATATTACTTATAATTAATAATAATAATACATCATAATAATATGTTGTTACATCCCCCAAAATAACTTTCTGAGCAGTTTTTTCGCAGCCGTGTCCCTGCAGTGGTTCCCGGGGAGGCCGGGAGAGGGCACATCTCCATAAGGGATTGATTTCACTGCTGCTCAGCAGTGCCAGGGAGCATTTTCACTCTGCTCACTCAGGCAGGAGCTCGGGGTTTCACCACGTAATGCTGCGGCTTTTCTGCTTTCCTTTCTCCCCCTCTTTGCTCCTCGGGATGAATTTCCAGGCTGGCTGGAGGCTGCTTCGCTTTGCCACTTGGAAGCAGGAGGTTTGTGGAATAAAATCTGTTTGGACTCAAAACTGTTCAGATGGAGCCACAGAGGAGCCTGCAGGACCCTCGTCTGTGCCTTCCCCGAGGTTCCTGGGGGATGATGTGCTATTATTACTGGGATGCTCTCTATGAAAATCCCAGAACCCTGAGAAAAGACAGATTTTTCTCGTCTGCAGAGTGCACGGGAACTCACATCTGTCTCTTGTTTCTGATACATGTTATAGAAGTCATAAAATGTAGCAAGCATTCATTTAAGTCATACTGAGAAGCAAATTTTCATGATTTGACAGAAACGCAAACCATTTCACTTATCTTTACAGAGTGAGGCCAGAAACATGAGAACTTGCCTATTTAAAGCTTTTATAAATAGACCCTAATTGAGTTTTCGGTGGCACTGTGATACTCCAGAAATGGAGCCCACAGCCTAAATGCTGAATGGCAAACCCTTCAGCAGCAGCTAATTAACACCGCTGGTGCATCTCAGACAGCCCCTGAGAGAACCAAAACATCTACCCACTGAAGAGCTATTTAAAAATACCTGGGACAGAGTGACTTCACGCAGCGATTCCTGTGTGAGTAACTCAGCTCTGCATTGTTCACATTTCAATTGTTTTCTGCGATTCTGTTTCAAATCACCAATTTCTCGAGCTGGGAGCAGCACACATCCCAGAGGGGAATGGTGGATTTCGGGTGAACCCCTGGAAGCCGCTGTTTCTCTGAAAGTCCCGCTGGATTTTGCCGGCTGCTCTTTAAACCCTACCTAAGCAGAGCTCTGCTTTACACCAGACCAACGGGGCTGGTGAGAAAGGAGGGATCACTTTACAAAGCTCCCTATTTGAGCAGGGATTAACAAGGCTTGGAGGCAATTTGCAAACACACAAACTCTTCCTGGCTGCTGCTTCCAGAAGCGTTTTCTTAGAGCATCAGGCAGCCCCAGGGATGCAGAGGATGCAGAGGGCTTGGCTTAGCTGTGCCAGTCCCCCTTCACAGGCTGCTGTGAAATTCCAGGCTGTCCATTCCCTAAATCCTTGCTGGGGTACAAACCCAGCCCATGGCTCAGGGACACCACTGGCAAACCCCTTTCCCTGCTCTGGAGTTTTGACTGAGATGCCTGTGAGCTCCAAAGGTTTTATTTAGAAATAACCCACCAAAAGGGACCGCATTCCCTTCAGGGCACATTTCCTTAACAAAACTCTGGCCAGTCAGGTTGCTTCTAACCTTTAAAAGGTTCCACGCACTGAGAGGAAAAGCCCCTGGATCAGCAAGGAATTGGGTCCACAAAGCCCCAGATAATCCAAGGCTGTGTGGATCTGTCATTCAGATAAGGCAGATCCATTTCAACACCAGCTGGAGGAAATATGGTTTTAAAAGTTTATTAAACAACATGATATATGTAAATTTGGTCAGGAAACACAGAGACACATCACCCTGCCAGGACACAAAGCAGAGCTGTCCAAAGCAGAGAGAGCAGCAATGAAGAGTCTGAGATAGGGTTGTTATCTAATCCAGATAGCTCAGAAAACAGAAACCCCAAATAGTTGAAATGCCAGGAAAATCACACTGTTTCCCTGATTTTTTTTATTTTTCTTACATCTTGGAAAGCCAGCTAAGGAAGCGGCTGCCACCACGCAGGGCAGGAGATACTGAATCTGCTGGTGAGGTTTTATTGAAATCCAAAATGCTAATCCAAAAGTCACCTCCTAGTTTCTGCTTCCTCTTTTGCTTCTCGGGTAAACTCCAGAATATTTGCCTCAGGAGCTACAGTGACTCTGAAATTGCTGCCTTTTCCTCTGAAGGGAATTATCTGTCTGCCCTGGTGACATGTGACAGTTTTTTGGGGGGATGATCACATCCTTCTCCTTGCAGACTGCTCTGTTTTGTTTTCCTGCTCTGCTTGGAAGAAGTGGATGTTATCTTTGAGAACAATGCCATGGAAGGGCTGTCAGCAAACAGCCTCACAGCATTTGGGAGCCCACAGCTGACTGCTGCATCTGCAGGGAGCAGAACTGAAATTCTTGAGAATGGATCTCTGAGCCTGACTGGGACATCCTGAGGCTGCTTTAGCAGAGGTCACATTGATGCTGATCAAAACACCAAAACACCCAGAAGGACAGGAGACAGAGTGCCAAAACTTTCCAATGTCCTGTGTGAAACTCAACTAAAACTTACCTAATTTTCAAATTTTCATCAGCATTGGACAATGCACTGCCTTCACTTACTTCTCTCTGCTTTGCTGTGTCTTTTGCTCGGTTTAACATGGGTTAAATCTGCCTTTCCATGGGCTTGTCCCTGTTTTCTCACAGTAACTCAGGTCAGAGGTTTTTGAGGTGTCAGCTCTGAAACTCTGCTCCTGCCATCTCCAGATCTGGTGGGGATATTGCCAGAGGAACGAAAGATCAAACACTGTGAGTCTTCTGCTGAAGTGAACTTTGAAACTGCTCACTAATTCAATCATTTCATGCACTCTGGTTTCTAGCACGGCCCTAACTCTTCTCTCCGCCACTTCCTTCCTTCCTTCTGTGATAAATGTAACCTTGGATAAAAATTTGTGAAAGAATAAATAAGTATATAACTAGATTTGTAACAATGTAAAAAGTATATAAAATATAGTGTGGCCGAAGAATTTCCCCAAACCCAGCAGTAACTACCCATTCAGGCGGTAACGACCCTAGGCGACGTTCATCAGCCTGAAAGAAAAAGCAGGACACGAATGATTAAGCTAAACAAAGAAAGGAGCCAGGCCGAGATGGCCATCGACCCCACACCACACCTGGGCACCCCTCCCTGCAAACCCCGACTGAAGATGCAAACGGGCCGGACAATAAGTGGAAGCCCAGCCGAGATATCTGTCGACTCCACACCGGACTTGGATACTTCACTCTGAGAGCCCAAACCGAAAATGAAATCAAGGAACACTCAGAACTTCTTTACATATGAGGAGACTCTGCCCGGACGTCTATTTGACTCTATTCTCCAACGCCAGGAAATCAATTCATCCAACAATCAAGGACCCTTGGTGAATGGTGCCTGCCTGGAATTTGGCCTCAGGACACAAAATCCCTATAAAAACCCCGGACAGTCTACCCTCCTTCGTGGATTTGGGAACACCTATACCTTTGGGTATAGACCCCTGTCCACCCAGCGCTGCGCTGTTTGTTTTATTGTGGTTTTTCCTCATTGTTTATTTTTTTATAAAAATTGTTTTATAATAAATTGTTCTTTTATTTAACCCAAATTTGCCTTTGCATTTATAACACTTCCTTCCTTCCGCCCCTTCCGCCCCTTCCGCCCCTTCCTTCCTTCTGCCCCTTCCTTCCTTCCGCCCCTTCCGCCACTGAGAGAATTCGATGCCTTACAGATAAACTGGCATCACAAGTAATTGCTTGCTGTCTCTGTTGGTGTGCTTGGAAGCCTTGGAAGCTCCCAGGAGCTGGAGGAGATGTGCCACGTGTCAGTCAGCAGGGAGAGCAGCACGAGCTAGCTTTTCCTCTGGGACCTTTTGTACATCACAGCCGTCATGTTCCATCAGGCTGCTGGAGCCGCTCCAAGCTGCAGGAAAGATGTCCTCCCTTGGATGTTTTCTTAGCAGAGTGGAGCATGTTCCAAATGTTCAGCTTCCAGCTGGGTGCTCCCCGAAGTTAACTCCCTGTCAGGAGGGGAACGAATTTCCTTCCAGGCTGCTCAGCTTTTGTCTGCAGCAACCCCAGGGCCTCCCACTGGAAGGGCAGGGCTCCTTGTTTCACAGGAGAGCTGAGATCCTGCCTTGTCACAGGGCTTTGGGTGTCCCCCAGGCCGTGTTTGGAGGTGTTTCACGTGCACTGTGCCAGTCCTGCAGGATTTATTTGCTTTTACTCATGGAGATGGGCTCGCCCATCTGCCTGTTGATTTGTTTCTCCCTGCAGGAACTTTTGATGGGAATTTCAGCCAGGTTTCAGGAGTCTCCGAGGTAACTGAGGGCTTTGTGAAACTCAGCAGTGCAGAGGAAATTACATAGTATCCTACTGAGGGAAAAGTGGGCAGAATTAAATTTTGATCCATTCTGGACCCACAGAGCCACAGAGGAGCTGCAGCACATGACAGATTTCATCTGCTGCGGGTGTGATGTGGGATATGGAGCAGCTGGAGCTGCTGCAGCATCAGCAGAGGGAGTGGGGATCAGGAGCTTTGCTCCATGAGAAATCCTGCAGTTTTTACACTGTGTGTTTGGGTTTGTGGCCCATGTTCTATTCAAGCCCAAAGCCTTTTGTTTAGTGCATCACATCACATGAATGTGGCAAAGGTAATTAAAGATTTTAGTAAATCAAGCTGATTCAGTGTCTGTATTCTCTGATGTCATCTCAGTTTCTATACTAAAGGAAATGAATTTTTTCATGTTAAAATGATAATAGTAATAATAATAATAATAATAAAGAAACAGCCACCCAAGTTCTAGGGGTTTTCCTCAAGCAGAACTTGCTTTCATTTCCTCTCCAGGCTCATGGTCCTGGAGCTGGTGTAACACAGGCCTGGTCGCTAAGAGAAGTTATTCCCTCTGGAAAGGGGGGCACAGGGGAACCACAGCCAGTTCTCATGTCTCCTATCTGTCTCTCTGGAATCTGAGGTTCCTGGCAGTGGCAGCAGCTGGTTTAATCAATAAGCTAAATAAACACCCTTCATCTGGAAAGAGTTAGCAGCTCCATGGAGCAGAGGTGAGCGAGGAGCGGAGTGTTCAGTGCTGCTGTGTGAGCTGAAGGGCTCAGCAGCGACTTGAGGAGAGCTTCCCTGACCCCTTTTGCTTGTCTCCATGGAATGGGAGCTCCTGCTGTTCATTCCCACTCCCAGGGACTCCAGCTGCCCCAAAACCAGGTTGCTTTGTCTCCCTCTGATCAATGTGTGTACAGCCACGTTTTGACATGTGGCCACACACTTCCACACCTGCTCATGCTTTCCCCCTTACCATTCCTGCAGATCCCATGATCCTGTGCCCAGGGTCACCCCCAGCTCATGCTGGAAGCAGTCAGGGACTCCTCAGCTGGATTCAGCCACCCTGTGGGTGGGACAGCTCTGTGTGCTCAGAGCTTCCCCATTAATTGGCAAAAGGAACATCAAATCGTGCCTGCAAGGAGTGACTGCCTCCTCTGGGGTGGAGGCAGGAAGAACCTGCCCTCAAATGCTTGCCCAGGCAGAGAAATTTCCTGGGAGGTCTGGGAGGGGTTAATAACACATAGAATTTTATTTTTTTTTTACAAAAGGCTGATGGTGAATTTGGCAGAGCAGAGGGTGGCACCTGAGAGCAGCTTTTTGATCAACAAATCCCCCCCCAAACCATCCCAGGCTGGCACAGCACCATCACTCCAGTATGGAGAGGTACAAAATTGGAACCTGTTTTTGCCAGACAAAAGCTGGCAGCCCTGAGAGGTATCAAAGAGGGACCAGTCCTGGTTCATCCTCAGACCTGCCTGTGAACCCTGGTAACAGAAGGGTTTGGCTGCTCTCAAATCTCAAAGCTGGTGCAACTCAGCCAACTTCAATGGGGTTTTGCTTCTGTCTGCAGGGTTGGTGACATCAAAGTAAACAAAGTGAACTCCTTCCTGTGTCTTAAAATCCTGCTGATGTGTCCCATGCTACTCCCAGTGACACACGAGGCTGATATTTTTAGTACAATATATAATTTAGAACTTCTTTTTATCCAATTAAGAAATGAAATCTAGCTAACCCAATTTATGCCCTGAAGGAGAAAACAAATCTCAGTTTCTTGTACATGTATCAGGATTGTACAAGTACTATTTCCCAAAATTGAAACAAAACCTGAAGGAATTGTCACACAGCCTTTGCTGAGAATTGTAGACCCCACCTAATGAAAAGCAAAATTCAATAGCTGTTCCTGAGCTGGTTTTGGTTGGGGTTTTTTGGTACAATTTCAGTCCCAAAAAATGCACCACGTGAGAATGGATGTAAATATGAGTTAGTAAAACTGTCATCATCAGCTTCTGCTAGGAGTAGAGGGTTCTGGAAGCATTACCAGGTGTAATGCAAAGTTGTTGGGGAATAATAATTCAAACAAACCAGAAACTAAAAAAAAAAACATAACAGATACTTGGATTGCATATCTGGGGACATTTTCATTAAACTTGCTACATATTTATATTAGCTGATTTATTTTTTTTATCCATGCGGAGCAAATAAATTCATAGGAAAATAATAAGTATTTTGCAGACAAGTTCACCAGAAGGTGATGGGTGAAAACCATTTGCAATCTCAGCTAAAAGTGAATCAGAAAGCTGTTATGAACAGGAGGGTCATTTGAAGTCTGTGCATTTGACAAACCTCTCTGCAGCAGGATTGTTTTGTTTTCAGTTCGTGCTCAGGGGCTGAAAATCAAACACAAATGTCAAAGGTTCACCTGGTTCTTCAGTCTGCTTTTTTTGTTTTGTTTTGTTTCTTAAATGCTAAATAATAAAAAAAAAAAAGACAAAAAGAAAGAGGGAATGGTGTGAGCGTGCACAACCCTTTTCAGTCAGGTATTTTTCCTTCAGACATCTGAAGCTTTTCTTCCTGGTCAGATGTCATTAGCATATAATTAAGGTGCCAGATCTGTGCCATTTTCCTGTATGCTTAATGGGGTGAGTTCCTGAGGTTTCTTGGGAGGTTTCTTCCTCCCAAACTGAGGTCAAACAGTTAACCAGTCATTCCTTCCCTCCTTCTATTTATAAGCCATAAGAAGCAGGATGTAGTAACATTCTCTTGTGGTTCACCATAAGGAAAAGATTCCATTTCTCTTCGGAGACAATCCCCAACAGCCCCCTCAGCAGAACTTCTTTTATGGAGTGAAAATGGGGGAAACCTCTGTGTGTGTCTGTGTGTGTGTGTGTCCTGTCTGCAAGGTCCAGCAGCAGAGGAAGCCCCTGGTGCTGGAGAACCTGGTGAGAACCATCCTCCCCTTCTGCCCTACCACACCTCTCCTTCCTCCTGCCCCTCTGCCTCCTCATTCATTCCAACATTAGAGCTCTTCCTCCAATCAAACACTGTGTTTTCTCTCCCAAATCCATGCCCTGTCCCTAAGGATTGCAGTCCAGAAATTTTAGCCAAGTGTTTGAGCATCCACAGAGGTGTCTAGAGGGGAATGACACCGGCCCTGCAAGGGCACCTGGAATTCCTCCTGAAGCTCTGTCAGAGCCCTTCTCTGAGCCCAGAGTGTGTAAACAAAGGAGCCCAGAAGGGCTCCATGAAGTCTCCTGGCCCTCAGGGTGCCTGGGAAGAGCAGGGGATGCTGCCGGGCAATCCAGCTGGAAAAGCAATTACTGCCTTCCCAGCAAAGGAGCTCAGGGCTGAGCCCCGGCCCCTCTCCAGCTGCAGACAAAGACAAGAGGCTCTCTGAGCCCCAAATACCTTTTCAATGGTGAGGAGGAAACGTCCCACGGGTTTTGTTTTTCCCTCCAGGATGTCAGCATCCCGTCCTTTTGAAATCTTTGTGTCCGAGTCCCCACCTCCACTCAGCACCGCTTTCCTCCGGGAAGAGCTGGGGGGAGGCAGGAGCAGAAAGCATCACTGGTTTTCAAAAGAGACAACT